ACCTATGGCCACTAGTGGAAAAGATTCTGGTAAGGGTCACAAATGCAGTAAATAAAAAAAGATTTTACAGTGTTTTGTGCTACTAAAGAGGAGAACCTGATTTGGCTTGATAACTTAAGTCATTAATATTCAAAATAAATGGGAAAATATAGTATTTCATACTTGAAAATAATGAAGATGGATTTATTACAACTCTAGAAGGCCCCGTTGCAGCCATTGAATAAACAGTGTATTATGAGAAATGGGACGTTTTTCAGAAAGATAATTTTGGCATGTCTTTTATTATTATGAAGGTTTTCTCTATTTCCTGTACCTTCTGTTATATTCAAAACATAGCTACACAATTATTTTAACAAGAAAATTATTGTTTTGTAATAGCAACAATCACCACGGTGATGATTTATATTGATTAATATATATTTATTTAGCCTCATTTATCTTTTCAAAATATGTATAGATGCTTCGCTGCTCTGCTCTCCTTGCTTAAAAAGAAAAAGTGCTTAAGGCACGGTGACTGCTCTGTAGAGGAAAGGCTGAGTGGGACCAATCAGAAAGGAACTCTCAGCTCCTTGGTGATGCGTACCCAATCATCCTGGACTGAATTGTGGAAAGAACAGTCTTTTCTTCATTACCGGTATCTCGCTGCAGGATACCATTGTCTGGGCTTTCATGTACACTGCAGTGTATTTTTAGATAATAATTTTTAAAATAACATTTGGATATTTCATGCCAATCTCACAAAACAAAAATTCGGAGCCCACCTTCTTTGATTATTTGTCTCTGTGAACATTTACGTGTCAATAATTTCGTATTAGTTGACTTTTTTTCTGGGTGGTTTCACGTGCTACTCAATGCTTATTTTCACTGATTCCTACCCATTTAGCAATTTGTATAGTATTATCTGCCAAGTTGTAGCTGGTTCCTGGATTATTCGTAAAATAAACCAACTCCAGAGAATCAACCACTTAGGCTTTTTGTTGAGATAATTCATTTCATCTAATTTTGATTAGCTGGCTCTGAGAGATGTGGAAAAATAAAATTACTTGGCTAGTTTTTAAAAATCAAACAAAATAAATAGTTATTTTGTGGAGCCCTAAAGATGTTTGAAAGCCAGCAGCCCTCATGCCATATCCAGCACTTTAGTATCCATACACCTAAATGGACTAAACCGACCCCTCCTTACGTGTCTTTTACAACCCCAGCAAAGAACTCGCGATGTCAGTCAGCTATTTCTTTTTGAGTCTGATTTATGAACTCTTTCTTGTCTGGCCAGGTGCTGGCCATATCCCACAATTCATAATCTGTCACCAGGAGTAATGGCCCGTTTCCAGAGGTGAAGTGTGACAGGCTTTCTACACATGCATCAGGAAAACAGATCATATGACTGCTAGGTGATCTGTCAGAAGTGGGCTGACGAGCACATCAACCCTTCGGTACACCCCATTTTCACTGTGGTTCCTCTCCTTTGGCTCACCATTTTTCTTCATAAGAGGCAGATCTCATGACCAGCATAACATCCAATCACAAGTGAGCAGGTTGCTCAGATTCCATAGTGGTGAGTGGGCAGCAATGCCCAGGGAATTCAAGCATCACCAGTCTCATACCCTCCAGAAAGTTATTGCATGAAGAGAAGGGTCTAGTTCTGTTTTGTCTTCTCGTTCCTCACTGTCCCACCTTATTTCTGACAGTGGATGGGGAGGAGTCCCTTGACTTCCATTGACTGTTTGGTCCTTTCCTTAATTTTTAATATACCACTGCACATGGACTGCTCATTCTGACACTCAGTTGACTGAAGACTTTAGGTACTGTCCTCAATAATTCTGTGACTGTGTACTATGTGATGTTTCTGTCTTTGAGGTAAGTGCAGTGCTCAGGAGGCACTTCATTCATTGCTCTGGTCCAGGTTAACCCGGCCACTAAGCAGGAACATACACATGTGCTGAGTGAGGGCATTCATTTCCAGTTTAGTAATCGTGCAAGTCTCCAGCGCTGATCCAGTCTCACCAAAGTACACTATTTGTATCTACATCTGTGATAGTCCACACAAACGCGTGTGCATGCGCACACACACGCCTACATACACACACATGCACACACACGCCTACATACACACACATGCACACACTGCAGGTGCACACACACATACACACGCCTACACACATGCATGCATACACATACATGTGCGCGCGCACATGAGCCATACACACATGCACACACATGCCTACATACACACACATGCACACACATGCCTACATACACACACATGCACATACACGCCTACATGCACACACTGCAGGTACACACACACACATACACACGCCTACACACATGCATGCATACACACACATGTGCGCACACACATGAGCCATACACACGCATGCACACATACACACACATGCGTGTACATACTGTCCATGCACTCCAGTTACTTTGGCATGGATGTTGAGCTTCGTGGTTCTAAGAAAGAAACATGAGTAAAGAGTAAAGAGAACATAGCATTAATTTCAAAACATGGCAAACAGGGAGACAGAGGTGTGCCGACCTGAGAGCGAGAAAGATCCTCGTCACTGAAAGAGCAGTGTGTGTCCTCCCTGCTCCTTAGCAGAGGCCTGATTGTCTGGAGAAGGAAAGGAAGGAGGCCAGTGGTGCGGAATAGAGGAGTCACCTCTTGAGTGATGGCCTAACACAATAGTCCTCGCATCTCAGGGTGTCTTGTTAAAATGCACATTCTGCTGCGGAGGATGGGATGAAACTTGGCACCCTGCCTTCCTAGCAGGCTCCCCCAGGTGCTGAAGCCATGGTCCCTGATGCACTGTGGCTAGCGAGGCCCAGAGGGAAAGGGCAAAGAGAAACCTAACACAGGAAGAGGGTGATTGTGTAGTCAAGGCACTGGGTATGTCTTTCTGAGAGAAAGGTTAAAAGATGGAAATTTGTGAAGGGACTGTAAAGGCCAGAAAGCCAATGCTCTTTTATCTTCTAATACCAGTTCTAGATAGGAAGGAAAAAAAGACTTTAGGATGGGGGGTGGATATAATGAAGATATTCTACTTCCAAACATAATTATCTCCTGGTTTTTCCTGTTCTTTTGTGCATCGTTGGCTCTGGAAGCTCACGCTCATATGACAGTTTAACGTGCAAGCCGATATTACTTTTAAATGAGAAGAACAGTGCTTGAAGTGCCGGAAGTAGCTTAAAGAGACAAGTATATATATATATGGTGGTCACAGCCTTGGGAGCATGTTAAATGCATGCATTTTCAATCAATTTGTTGGTGTGAGGCTAGCAATGAGAGGATTCTCCCTACTTAATGCTGTTGGAGTCACCACAAAGCTAGCGACAGGGGATTCAGTTAGGTCTTTCCTTTGACTCAAAGGAAAGTGAAATGACACCCAGGCTTGTTTACCATTAAGTGTCCCCTTCTCTTCCTATTTTCCTGCAAAAGTAATCCATTGACACATCTGGCAAGAGAAGGAAAGGGCTCTAATATCTAAAGATGGGTACTCCTGCTGATATGCATGAAATCTGAATGTTTCTCTCTCATTGTGCACCAAGGTGTCTTTTCTGTTCTGAGATATCTGAATTATATAAACTAAGATTGCTATTAAAGAAGGCAGGAGGCAATTTAAGAAGTGCCCTATCTCCCTGCCAGCAAAAGCTTTGCAGCTAAGCAAAAAAATGTATGTTGATAAATTGCCACTGTCAGAGTGTCCACTGCACTTCGTGGGGTATGTCACTAACTTTGCATTCCTCACTTATGGGTGTTCATGTGTGAACTTCTATTTGAAAAAGAAAGCACCAAGTATTTGGAGATGTTCCCTAAATTGCCACAGCTTAGCCTAAATAATACTAAACAAAATCAAGGATGATAATAGGACCGTAGTTACTATTACATATACCTAACTTTTCCCCCAAAGCCTGTATGCATCTTTTGTTTTGCTTCACTGTTTTAGGCATGTTCTTAACATTTGCTCAGGCTGTCCTCAAGCTTGGTATCTCCCTGCCTCCCCTCCTGCATGTTGGTATTACAGCTGTGTGCTTGGTTTAAGAGTTGAATCAGGGGTGCGCCAGCCTACAATCCCACGGCCAGAGACTCTGGGAAACAGAACCTTCATCCAGTGACTAATGAAAGCAGAGACAGTCACCCACAGCTAAACACTGAACTCAACTCCTAGAATCCAGTGTCAGAGAGGGAGGAGTGATGAGCAAAGGGGTCAAGACTGGGCTAGTGAAACCCACAGAAACAATTGACCTGAACAAGGGGGAGCTCATGGACCTCAGACTGATGTCTGGGAGGCCAGCATGGGACTGATCCAGACCCTCTGAATGTGGGTGTCAGTGAGGAGGCCTAGGCATTCTATGGGGCCTTAGGTAGTAGATCAGTATTTATCTCTGGCATACAAATGGACTTTGGGTGTCCATCCCACATGGAGGGATGCTCTCTCAGCCAGGACACATGGGGGAGGGCCTAGACCCCACCCTGAACGAAATAATAGACTATGGAGATCCCTAATGGATAGTCTCACCCTCCCTGGGGAACAGAGTGGGGATTGGGTGGGGGGCGGAGGAGCCTGGGAGCAGGGGAGGAGGAGAGGGAGCTAGGATTGACATGTGAAGCAAGCTTGCTTCTAATTTAAGTTTTTTTTTAAAGCTAGTGATTTACCCAAAGATAAAAGCACTCTAGCAGATATGCAAAAGGTAAAATGACAAAGGAATTGAAGAATATACTTCATGAATATAGTATTTCACAAAGAAAGTGGGAAAGCTGTAAGAAAAGAATAGAAGACTGAAAGACAATCAATAAAAAAATTTAAATGTCTGTAGTAAGTCTTACCTGTCAGGGGTTACTTGAAATAAAGGCAGAGTGGATGAAAGGATTCAAAATAAAATGCAGTATTTCTTAGCACTATAGACATATAGACTGGGGTAAGGTGATGGCAAACATATTTTCATACTTACTACAAGTACAGCAGAGACAAGAGCATCAAAACAGAAACAGTGGATTTGAGCAAGCATTAGTCCAAAAGGACCCTTTAAAAGACTTATGGTGTGGACCATTCCACCCAGTGGTGTAGAATACATGTTGCCTCGAAACACATACATAACATTCTATAAGACAGATCACATTAGACCCCCCAAAAAAAGTCTTATTATTCCCCCACACAGAAATTTTAATATTTCAAGGAATCTAACTCAAAGTCAGTAGCAGAAATGAAGTAATGCTAATTAGAACATCCGGATGTGTGTGGTGTTCCCCCTTAGGCTCAGGACTTTAAGCTCTTGGTTCCCAGTTGGCGGCGCTGTTTGAGGAGTTATGGGACTTTGAGCATGGGGCCTTTGCTGGGGGAAGTGCGTCATTCAGGGTTGGATTTGAGAGTCGCTTGCCCCTTCCCACTTCCAGTTCTTGCTCCCCGATTCCTACGTGTGATCCAGACGTTGTAGCTCAACCTTCTGCTCTGGTCATCTCCTGTCAAGGACTCTCTCATTCTGTAACTGCAAGCCAAAATAAACTCTTCCTGTAAGTTGCTTTTTGCGCGTGGTATTTAGTCAAACCTGCAGGAAAGTAAATAATACTATGTAGAATTAACAGAGCTGAGATCTTAGGAGAATGTTCAATGGTGATTAGCCCTGCTGGGAAAGGGGGAGAGAGAGAGAAAACGGAGAGGTACAAAATTGTATTTGAACTGTACAAGAATGCATCTTGATGCGTTCAGACAGAACAGTGCCTATAACAATTAATAATGCTGTACATTTCAGAATTGCTGAGAGACTTAAATAAGTTGGCAAGAAAGTATGTGTGGTGGTAGATTTGCTGTTAGCTTGGTTTATTCTGCAATAAAAATCTGTGTCTCATCATACCATTGCATGTATCTCATAAATATCGAAGATGCTAACTTGCTGGTATAAAGCCGCCCCTGTAGAGCTGCAGCTGAGGAAGATTGGGCTGATCTGAAGCTGGACCGGTTCCCACAGCACCTGGTGTGTGCCTGCTCTGACACTTAACACGGCGTGTTAGACATCCACCTTGGCCATGCTCCTGGTGTTTCCCTTAGACCGGAGGTAACATACTCTTCTCAGGACAGTGTAGTCCTAGAAAAGAGAAAAAAAAAATTAGAGCTATACTGTGGCTTGGAAAATGGTAGGTTTTCTCTTTGGTTGCCTGTGTACTTGCTTTATTTTATTTGTAAATGACATTCTAAATGAGGGTGTTCATAGCTAGACACAGTCATTGCTGTTTTTAGCTCCTTTTAGGGCCAATGCTAGAAACACAAACCCTTCACAGTCCTAACTCCTGAGTCTCAGGAAACACACTTCGCTTAGACAGGCCTGTGACCCAGCCCCAAGCCCCAATGCATAGAAGGTAGTCAGCTCCCTTCTGAGTTTTCCCGTAAACAAAGACTTCCGTTGCCTTGTAGGAAAGGCCTGGCCTATACACATGGCCCTTGTAGGAAAGGCCCGGCCTACTGTACCCATGGTCCTTGTTTTTCTTCCTGTCTGTGGCTCTAAAGCATCTTATAACTGACTGGAAGAGTGCTGAAATCTTCCCGAGAAATGGGGATTTGAAAAGTAGCAGTATCATATTACCAATGACATACAATCTAAGAAAAGTTACCCCCATGAGATTTTTCCCTTACCACCACCAAAATAATAATAATAATAATAATAATAATAATAATAATAAAGGAAGGGCCTCCAAAATTGGTGTCTAACTTAAACACTGAGTAATAATGATAACTTGTATTTAGTCTATATAAGGTATCTTTTCATAGAGTTTTATCATGCCAGGACATTGCTAGAGTGGCTATGTAGATTACAATCAATTTTTTCCATCTAGTTCAGTTATCCTAACATGTATAAGAAATGGTGATTGAATTTGCTACTGTCCTGAACATCAGACTATGACAGGCAAATAAAATACCACTTGTCCAATCATAATGTCTAGAATAATCTAGGTGGATAAAAAGGGTATATATTTTAAAAGATATAACAACATAAATGATTCAGAATAGCATATTTAAAAATATATATTTATCAAATGACTGTATACTCTGTGCATCTCAAACTACCTTGGGGTAGAAAGGGAACAGCATAGGGTATTTTTCTTTCTCCATCTTATAATCATGAAGGACAAAAAAAAAGAAAATAAATAAGGTAAAAACATCACAGTTCCCACTTAATTCATTAATCCAAAGACAACTGCCAACTGTTAATGTTGTTTATCTTGGCTTTTGGATTGAGTGCTTGGTTGGTTGACAGATAGACTTGGTTCCTTAATTGGAAAAGAAGCTCCAATATTTAACACCTCCGCCGACTTTAAGACTGTGTGAGGGTTGGCGCTTTTCTGTCACATTACTTTCTGTAGTGTATTTAAGGACTACTTTTATATACTTCTCTGCAGCAGGTGTTACGTTATATGATGAGGGTCCAGAACTTAGGAAACTGCAACCCTGTGGACTGTGCTCTTGGCCTCCATCAAATTCACCTGCTCGTGTGCTATTGCTGTTGCCAATTAAGCTGTCGTAGTGCCAAGTGTGAACTTTTTACTCACATGTGGCTTTAATTTACAATGTTGAGTTAAACATCCTCGTGTTGCTTTTATCTTACATAATTGTATTTGTACTATTGTATACGTGTGTATGTATACATACAACTTTATCGAAGTATAACTCACATGCCGTAAAACTCACGCAGCACAGGGCTGTGGCTTATAACTGTAACTCTTTAAGATCATTTTGAGTCTAGCTTCTGTTTCTTTCATTTCGCTTTCCTAGTCTTTTCTTGGGCACAACAGATAAGATGAACAAAGCTGAATGGGATTGCCCAAGGACAAAATCTCACATCACTCAAGGCTGTCTCAAAGATCTACTGATAGATCCCACTGGAGAAATACTCACCACGCCCTGGCTCATCTGCTGTGTGGTGCACGTGTCACCGAGTTAACACTCAGAGTAACGCTCTCATCTTTGAAAAGACACTCTCCAGGGTGATTAGTTGGACATTCTTTCAATGAGCTAGTCCAGCGAAGGACTGCAGTGTTATTTGTGCCCAGAGCTGTTTCCTTGTCTCAGAACATAACGATACCACTTTCCCCTTTGGAGACTGTGGAAGCCAAGCAGGTCACAGCTCACAGATATCAAAGCATATTCTCCAGGCATAAATACGCTCTTTGCTTTCCACGAAGCTGGGACGTCCTTGTGATTAATTTTGAATTCCGCACCTTCTATTGGTGTGAACTTCCCAACCTTCAGCTCTCCCATCATCCTCTTTTAAAGTGTCCACACTTCTGCTTCTGCTTTCCGGTGCCTTCCTTTGCTCTGTAGGGTTGTGAACATGTCCCCTGTCTAGTCATGTTTGGACCTCATCCGTAAGGAGCACCTCAGTTAGCATTCATGGGAACTTCAGCACACCCTTCTGGCCTCTCTCGGTATGGCATCCAGAAGCATAGTTACTTCCATCTATGCAAACTGCTTTGAATAGTTTACCTTCCCTCTCAGCATCTAAATTTGTGTTCTCTTTACCTAAGTTATAGATTTCCTACCAGATATTTTTGCCTGTATCACATTTTGAGCCAGAGACCTCACTGGATGTGTTTGCTTCCTGTGCTGGACTGTTCTAGAAGTCCTTCATGTCATCAGTGTGGACTGCTATCCTATCCTATTACCTTTCATTAAGGAAAGAAGTCTTCTAATTAATCTAAGCAAGTTATGATTAGATGTGTGACACGATAGTGACTGTTTTCTGGGGACACTTCCTATATATTTACAATACTTAAATGGAATGTCACAGAGACACTAGTGCTTTTACTTGGGCAGGTATTTCTTAGGTGCTGCGTTAGAGCCTAGAATGAACTCCCATCATCCCACTGTAGTCCTCTCCCTTGCCTCAGCTGCTGGGATTTGAGGAGTCTCTCTCCTTACCCTTTGTGTTAACACTCTTGTTCCTCCAGCTGTCTCTGTCTGCCCTGTCCAGCATAAGTCAATGCAGGGACAGGAGACAGTGCAGTAAATCTACATTCTTATCCCCCTTTGTTTCCTTCAACTCTGTGATTAGACTTTACTTCTCCAGAGTAGCAGATTTCACATTTAAACACCAGGAAGTCAAATTTACACACATAAAAAAAATAGGAAACAGAAAACTCAACTGCTCAACTCATACCACAAACTGAGATCATCCAACTTTGAAAAGGCAAATGCTGGAGATACCAAATAGCACTGTAAGTCTTCCCTTTTAAAGACAGATGGGTTTGTGTGGTAGGAAAGAGAGAGGCGGGGCTTATTCCTCACTGAAGTCATGTAGCCAGGTAAACTCCTCTGGAGGACTCCAGGGTTGAAGTGTTTAAAGGCCCTACCTGCATTTAAAGCAGACCACATCTCCCAACAGAAATAATTATCTGACTATTCTTAAGACTTTATTCGTTATGTTTATTCCATGTGTCCAGGCACTGCTTTAGGGGGTAGAAAATAGTGATACCAAGCTACGACAGACAATTGTCTGTGTTTCTTGATTCATGTTAAGGACAATCGGGATATTTTGATATGGGACACTGATGCTGTCTTGGGGAGGAGGAAGAACAGGTGTATGTTCTGCAGGGGATAATTTACCCTCTATGAATCTGAGTTTCCAAAACAGGAATGATATTGTATCATGTCTTCATCAGCTTGTAGGAGGGTAATTCTAGTAAAGATACAAACCAGTGCTTAGCTTGGTCAGTTTTGAAACTAAGAAGCCAGATTCTGCTACATGTTCGTTCACAATATCAGACAGTTAGAATACACATTACATTTGGTGATACAACATCCTTGGTGATCTTAGTACAGTTTAATTGAGTACTCAGTGTGGAACTTGCATTACAGCAGACGGCGAATACTTATAGGGAGTGAAGAGTAGAGAAGTAATTACAGCAGTTAGGCTCTGAAATGAGGAAGAGACAGACAGCAGAGGCCTTGGTGTAAGGCCCTGAGTGGAAGAGGTTAGGGTGTAAGAGTTCTGAACACATCTAACTGCAGTGAGAGATGAGTACACCTGAAGATACAGCAGAGAGTGGCCAGGAATCAAAGTCACAGGAAGACTGGGGACGACAGACTTCCGGAGCACTGGAGAGCAGAAGTCTGCTTTGCTGTTGAAGCAAAAGAGGTAGCAGGCATGCAGAAGCATATTATAAGATTTGAAAGTTAGTAGCAGGACCTTAAAAATGAACACAGTGTTTGAAGTTGAATGCTTTCTCTTTCTCTCATTTATGTATCCCCACACATAAAGATCACCACCATCACCACCACCCCCAAAAGTCAGAGGCTGTATTCGGAGTCCCTTTTGCAGACTCAAAGGAGAAAGAGGAGTGACATAACTTTCTAGTGGAAAAGTCTGCTGGCAGGTAGAGGCTGTGAACAGGCTCTTCAGGCGGGGTACAGGCAAAGGTGGGTCCCAGGAGTACATTGCACTTCTATTGTTGATTCTAAATTAGGAAGCTGGGGCAAAAAATAGGGAAGCTATTCATTAGTCAAACCTGAGCCAGTTGAAGCTGGTGATTAGTGAGGTTATTGTTTTGTTCCCTGGATTATTAATAGAAATAGCAGTCTGCCTTCCAGCATGTGTGACTGGCAGCAGGCTAGTGTCCTGGGCTAGTTCTCATAGATTATAGGTCATTGGTTTCTACAGACTGAGTCATGGTCTTCCTGCCCTAAGATGCTACCATTGTCTTTGTACACGCTCAGTGCTCACCACTTGGTTCTGGTTGAAATGCAAAGAGATTTTACTTTCAGGGTCCAGTGTTGCTTTAGCCAAGGGAAGGTGGGACCTGGGAGACAGAAGGGACTCAGTGTCTAATGGGGCCACAGAGATAGGGAATCTGTGGAAATAATCTCGGAAACCAAAATTAAGTTGAACCTGTCTAACTGCTCACGGAGGGCAGTGAGAGATGAGCAGACCTGAAGATACAGCAAAGAGATACCAACCATCGAAGTCACAAGAAGGCTGGGACAACAGGCATCCATCTGTTACAGCAACAGAGGTAGCAGGAGGAAAGGAGAAACGTTGAGTCGTGCATCACAACAACGAGCAGTCTAGTTCAATGCTAGTGTGTGTTTGACATGTATG